AATTTATATTTTAAATTTAATTTTAAAAAAATCTTTACACGCGTGGAATGCGCGACATCATATGATGTCGTTCTTAAATTTGTCCTTACTTTTAACGTCATATGACGTCCCTAGATTACATTAGATCATGCAGGAACGAAGGCTGTCTCCTTATAATGGTGGTGACCAAAAATCATGTAAATAGAACAACAATTTATATTTTTAATATAATATTAAAAAAAACCTTACACGCGTGGAATCCGCGACATCATATGATGACGTTCGGCCAGCTGCCCTTACTTTTAACGACATCATATGATGACGTTCGTCCGATAAAGGTTAAAATTACAATATTTTACATGTATAAATTTAATACATCAGTACTTCGATTTTGCAACTGGCAATACCATCCTAAGTATAGAGTACAAAAAACATTTAGTTCTGTGTGGATGTGCGTGCACTGAAACCTGGAAGTTCCTGCCTGACTGGTTTGCATTTCATAACCTTGTTGGTTCCAGCTTATAAATTTCTTTATAGCATGATAACACATATATCAGTTCACATTCAACCTTGGCAGAATCATCACAGAAAGGATTATGGTTCCAAAATAAATAATAATAACAATAGTAATTAAAACCCTTTGTACCTGAGTGTGTAGCGAGTACTTTGCTTATGTATAACTGCCAAGACTGCATAATTTTGTAGATATTCTGGTTTATGTTACTGTTCCTATTTCTATGCAGATTCTGTGCAGAACATGATATACTACTGTCTCACAGCCTGAAGACATAACATTGTGTAATTACAAATTTATTTCTCTTTAGATTGTGTTGGGTGAGGGGGCATTGTCACCAGATTTACTGCAAATTTTTCATACATGTCTCTCACTTGATAACATGTCTGTGAGCTGTGCTGGCGATGGGTTCGGTGTCTGGGATGGTACTAGCAGGAAGATCTACAGTGTTTAACCTTTAAACGACTAAAGACACCGTATGTCGTCGCAGATATAAAGGCAGCGGTACGAATGACGCCATGTGGTGTCGCACAGTCCGCGTGTGCGGACGTTATTTTAAAATACATGTTTAAGGTAGAAAATAATGTCCTACTTATATAATTTTTGGCCACCATCTGCATGGAGTGTCTGTCTTCCCACCTGCGTCATCTGCTGGAATGTTGCCTTCGTGTGGAATTCTAAAAAAAAATCCGGAAGTGCCGAGTCCGATTTCGCACTTCACGCACTTTCTCCGGGCGATTTTTCGTTTCCCACGCGAAAAGAACACACGACACCTCAATTGCGAAGTAGAGGAAGTCGGCCAGTTATGTGGTTTGGCCTTCTATAATCGAGATATCTCCCATAAAACGGCAGGGGTTCGACCCCTGGCCGTTGATGGCGAGGTGGACCCCTAACAGCATGTTCCGCACAAGAGCGAGACGAAATTCTCTGTGTGACAACAGGA